TATTGAAAAAGGAGCAGATATAGAAAAGTTGGAATCACACGATTTAAACATTTCCTTTAGAATGCCGTTACAAACATGCTAGAGAATCTTCTTTTCAGTATCTTCATTTGCTATTTTTGAAGGTCCTTATGGGCCCATTGCTCTCGAATGAGGTGTACAAACTTCTCATCAGTCCCAGTGGGGCCCAGCATTTCTTCTAGCTTGCGGCTCTCTCCTTAGCTGTCCTCCAGGACTAAATTATATGGTTAGTGAGCTGACTTGAATATGCTCGCTTAGGCAGGTGACCCATGGCAGGGTTAGTACACACTTAGAGGGAATCCTGAGAGACCAGAGAATTGAATCAAGGGATCTGAGTGTTCTGATGAGACGGAATCTACAGCAATAGTAAAATGCCTGGTCCATAACAAACATTTCACAGAAGACACTTCCAAACAACCCACATTTGTTATAACTGATAGCAGAATAACCGATAACCCATATGGGTTATTCTAAAGGAAGGTAAAGTTTTGCCATTTGGCCACAAAGCCATGGGGTGCACTTTGACGCTGACCTGCCACCTTGTGGAAACTGGAGGGAATGAAACAAGGCCTTGAATAAGACTACAAAAGAAATATGGCATGGGCTAACAAGATCCTCCCTCTGTCTCACTGTGAGCCAGAGTCTCATATGTAGGCCCTGGGCTGATCGCCAACTCCTGGGTTCAGGTGATCCTCCTGCCTCACCTACTGAGTAACAACAGTACCTATCCTGTTAGGTTATTTTACAATTAAAACTAAATTTTTATAATTAAAATTTCCTAACAAAATCACATAGATGGCACTGTAGGTACATTCCTTGGTGCCCGGATTAGGCTAACAGGTACTGAAGCTTTAACATGTGCTATGTGTTCTGTGGAACATCCAAATGTTTCCTCATTTAGTTACAAAATCATCTTACAGAGAAGATGCTATTATTGTCCTCCTTTGAAAGGCGAGGAATACATGTCCTTGAAAGGTAACCTAATGTTACAGGTATGGGAACCTCATGGTGCTGTCCCTATATCATATACTCAGGCATTTCAATCCTTAAATAAGTCCTGTGGTTCTTTAGTAGGATCCTTAGCAACAGCCATCTGAAGACAGCCACGTCCTATCAGAACAATGAGAAATGCTTCAGTGGCCTCCAGTTGATATAAGACATTAAGGGCAAGACCAGGACGGCTGGGTAGAGAGCTTTTTGGCTTTCTTTCATTACCTCTGTTACTTTTCTTTTTGGAGTGTTCTCTTAGGATCTTTGCTCCCTTCCCCAGCCCCACACTCACTCAGCCAGGTATAAAGGCCAGCTGACCTGCATCCCAAGCCCTGGCCTCCCTAGCAGATAACCTTGGGCTGCTTCCTAACCATCTGGAGCCTTATTTCCTCATTTGTAAAATGGGGCAATATTGACACATATAACTAAGCTCTGCTTTGGAAAATAGTATTTAAGACAAATAAATGATACAGTTCTACAAATGAGATCTTAAATACTTAGCACAATATTCAGAATATGATGTCTTCATTTTGCATTTGAAACAAAAGTTGATTATTTTCATTACAATATTTTAATTTGAAATCACACTTTAACAGCATTGGGTGCTTTTTGAGGTAGCTCCAATCATTTCTCGTGGTTTTTTTTACAATAATCTGGCACAAATGGCAAGAAAGTTCTTGTTCCTCATCTTACAAATCACTGCCATTCATATTTCTTGTGTACCTACTATGAGCAGGTCCTGGGCTAGGAACTCCGGAGGTACACAGCACAGGCCCTGACATTCAGAATGGCTGAGTGGCTGTCCCTTTCTGTGATGTGACTGGCAAGTCTCCAGAAAGCAGGGAAGATGCAGTCTTTTCATAGTTTGTTGTTGTCTCTTTCCTGACTGGAGACTCAGGCTGGTCTTTAGCTCTTTATTTAAAGGGGCTCATGACTTGGGAGAAGCATACAGGGTAAGGAGCTGAAGGGAAGAGAGAACGGGAAGAAGGGAGGACAGGAGGGAGACAGAAGGAGAAGGGAGGGAAGGAGAGAGGGAGGGGGAAAGGGAGAAAGGAGAAAGTGAGGGAATGAGTTAAGAGAATAAAGGGAAGGAGGGAAGAATGAAAAAAGGAGGAATGAGGGGGGAGGGGAAGAAGGAGGAGAGGGGGAGGGGAGGGAGGAAGAAATTTGGAAAAAGTGCTCTGTATGGGGATGAAATTTCTAAACTTTTCTCCAAGCCTCGCCAGAAGCTGAGGCTCAGGAACACTGAGGAATGTTTAAGTAGCCACTCCAATGTGCTTGCATACCTCAAATGCAGATAGTAAAAAGAACTCCGTGTATTCAAGGAAAATTTACTATGCACCTTTTATGGGTCCAGCAGTGTTCTGAGCATGTGGGATAAAGAGTGACAAGGCAGGCCAAAATGCTCCCTTCAAACATTCTAGGGCAGAAAAGAACCATGGCCCCAGGATGGGACTGATCCCAAGGTTAAGCATGGTTAATGGACTGGACACAGCAGTCTGGTGGCCCGTGTTAAAGCCTGCCTCTTCTTATGGCAAGTTCCTGCACTATTAATTAGTAACTATACTGTTAAGTTTGCTTTCTTTCTTTGTTATAGTTTGGGTATCACCTCAGCATGTCCCCAAGAGTTCATAAGCTGAGTGTGTGTGTGGTGCTGGGGATAAAACCCAGGGCTTTGCACATGCTAAGCACATCCCTCACTGATCCCCTATCCCAAAGTGTTCAAATTTAATCCTCACTATGGAGTATTGAGAAGCTGGAAACATCCCAACGAATAGGTGGGGACCTTTGGGAGACAGTTAAGATTCAGTAAGGTCAGGGTGGAACCCCCATGAGTGAAAATCGGTGACTCTATAAGAGGAGGGTGACAGTGGACCATTTGTACTCTCCCCGTCTCTTGTCACTTGAGTCCCCTGAGCCTCTGAAAGCAGATGATCACCAGATGTGGGCATCTGAATCCCAGATTATGAGGCAAACACATGTCTTTTCTTTTCCTTTTTTTGGAAACAGGGTGTCACTATGTAGCCTAGGCTGGCCTTGAATTCACAGCAATCCTGCCTCAACCTCCCGAATGCTGGGATTACAGGCATACACCACCATGCTCCATTCATCTCTTTTTTTTTTTTTTTTTTTTTTTTTTTTGTCTTTTTCATTTTTACCAGTACCAGGGATCGAACTCATGACCGCCTGCTTGCAAGACAGGTGTTTATGCCGCTGAGCTAAATCCCCAGCCCTTCATCTCTTTTCTTTATAAAGTTTTCCCTCCCTGGGTATTTGGTTATAGTAAGAGAAAATGGGCCAGTACGTTCCCTCATCCATAAAACTTTTGGATTGACATCCTCCTGTAATGGCCTTCCCACAATGCTTTCGTGCTTGCAAATGATGCAGCATGGTGTGGGACAGCTATGTGATCTGACCCCTCCGGTCACCTCCCCTCTTCCCTGAGCTCCATGCCTGAAGCTTTTAGCGGAACTATGCCAACACCAGGCAACTTCACAGTGATGTGAGTTCCCAGGCATGTCCCCCTCTTACTGGTTCAGTCTTCGGAAGGCTGAGGTCCCTCCTCCTGCCCACAGTATCACTTCTTCAGTTGCATTTGATACAGTGTTGTGTTTTTTTTGCTCACAGCTCTCTCAACAGATTTTAAGCTCACTGGCAAAAGGAAATAAGTGTTAGTCCCCTCTGTTTCCCACACACTTACTAAGCCGGGGCTCGCTGTGTGGTAGATTAGATGACACCAGCTGACGAATGCCCGTGATGCTGTCAGTGTCACTTTGATGCTGCTTGGTTGCAACAGTGATGGTTAACTGCACTGAACTCTTACTCCTTCAAGGCATATGGCCAAGGCTTTCCCAGACAGCATCTTACTTAATTGTACAAAATCCTATGACAAAGCTGGGGACTCTGTGGTCATCATTTTGGAGGTGGGAATGCTCAGGCTTCATGGAGGTTAGCAGCTCCCAACGTCACTAAGTTACTCAGGAGTAAAGCAGGGAGTTAAAACCAGGCTTAGTGTATTCAACCCCTGTGCTCTACTCCCACACATACTGTGGAAATCCCAGAATAAGATATCACTTCTTTGTCCTTCTGGAAGAGCTCAGAAAAGACTACCAGCAAACTGAACTGAGTAAAAGTCCTAGATTTAAGATATGGTTTGGATCTAAACTTCACTCCCAAATTCTCATGTGTGGAAGGTGATCAGATAGTGGGCAATGATACTCATCAGGAGACTCATCCACTGATGAGTGCAGTGGCTAACTGCGCTGTTAGGAAGGGCTTGGTATGGAGAGATGAGTTACTGGGGAGCATGGCCTGGAAGGGTGCATCTCCCTCCCAGCTCCTCCCTCCATTCACTGCTTCTTGAACACCATGACTAGAGCAGCTTTCCTCCGCCAGACCCTCTGACACCAGGTCATTTCTGCCTTGGGGTCAGCTGACCATGAGCCAAAATAAACCTCTCTTCCTTTAAATTGTGCAACTTGGGTATTGTATTTCAGTGACAAAGACAACTTACATTTCACTCCTGCGGTATGGTCATTTTTATTCTAGCTCAGACTCCAAGGGGATTTTTTTAAAATTTCAATACTTTATGTCTGTTCAGATATTTCTCATTATGTTTCATTCAAAGATAATTTGAAGGAATTTTTTTAGAGGCATAATTTTGCAGACGTACAGGAAAACAATACAACAACACTTGATTCATCCTTAATACCCATTTTTGGGAAAGTCATACTTAGCATGAAACACTTGTTCAGACAGGAAGTGCTCAGATTAATGGCACTGCCCCTCTAGCTTGATCACAAGTAGAACAAGCAGGCCAGGGTCACACACATCTACATTTTAACTTTTTTTAAAGACCTTGATTAATAAAGAAGTAAATAAAAATTTTAAAAAGTGGCAACAGCTTTGGAAAATATGTGTTTTAAGGTATCATTAGTAGTTGGCACTAGGCACCACACAATTTTGGTAGACTCTAAAAACAAGTAGACAAATTATATGTAATGAAAGCAACAATTTTTATTACCTTGCTTTATATTTAATGATTTACATTGTCATTTCTGAAACAGAAATATTTGCAAATTCTAAATAACATTTGAAACTTCATTCATAATCTATTACATCATGAGTGAGTTGCTGTAAAATAATTATTTGTGTTTTTGTTGTTGCTGGGCAGCAAAGACAATTACTGTGAGGCAAGGAAGTTGCTGGTTTACATTTGCTTGGAGCTTAAATAGGAAAGAAGGAGGCAGAGGTGTTGGAAAAGACCTTTGTGGGAGCAGGGAGCTGAGGGGTGATCCTGACTCAGTCGTCTCCCCCGCAGATCTTTAACAGCGTGTTCTCATAGTCTCCAGAAGTATCAGACTAAAAAAAAACAGGACCAACAGAGAGGATCAAATGAGGCAGAATATGAGTGACCAAAATGCATCAAACCCGACAGCACTAGGGAATTCACGTGGGGCCGAGCCCCATAATGCTGTACCATTAACTGAAACGCACCTGTAATTCCACCAGGTATTCACACTCAGAGTAATCATGTTTTAGCCTAGCATCTTATCCCCAGAGTGTAAGGTTTGAATTCTTCCTCATGCACTAAAACTAAATGTCAATTTTGACTTTAAAAATTAGTATATTAAAAATATAAAACTTTTATTTAAAAAATAAAAAACTAGTATATTTAAAATATAATATTAGTTTCTTACAATCTTTTAGAATAATTATACCTTTTATAATAATTAATATTTATCAAACACTTCTATAAGTGCTCAATTGTAGGATTATAGCTCATTCCAGAGAATGTACTTAATATGTAGGGGGCCCTGGGATGAATTTCCAGTGCAAAAAAGAAAAGTGCTTACTGTGCATTAACTCCTTTAGCCCTCATCAAAGCCCTGACGCAATGGGACTGGAACACTAAATATTTCCATTTAACAGGTTAGTAGAGCCAGACAGCCTGCCCCTAAGCTCCTGGCTGTGAACTGGCCACATCCCCATGTGGTGTGTCTATTGGTTTCTTTTTCCTGGGCCAGCCAAAAAGAGGGCTGGGTTGAGAAAAGATATCAAGTGAGCTTAACAATTAAGGGATAGAGATACTGCATTTGCTATGCAACCGATATCATTAGAGTAAAACTTAGCTTTTAACCTGGATTACCTAAAATTCTCTCTTCATATTTATTTTACTCACGCTTCACTTCTTATCCCTTAAATTTCACTTTGGGAAAACTGTTATTGAGGTAAATTCTAGGGGGATATCTAATGAAAAGATTAAGCATCACTCTCATAGTAAATACAACAGACATCAATAGATATGTTTCTGATATATATAAAGATTTCAGTGCTTCCTTTATTGATCTTTGTGAGTCTTGTTCTGTCTGTCAGACACTGGTAGTCAACAATGCCCTCACTTTGTAGTAAAAGAGCTTCCTCCACGGCATTGTGGCATATGCCAGAAAATTCACAACCTAAAATCCTGGGTTTTATCCTTGATAATTTTTCTTTGCTCACCTCACAAAGATATCCCACCAAGGCCCTTGAGTTTTAACTTCTAAGCATCTCTTGAGAATTGCTCCTTCCTCTTTCTGCATGATCCCCAATTCGGAGGACTCTACGCCCCTGTGATGATGTGACAGCCCCCAACTCATTGTAGCTCTTCTGCCTTATGTCCAACCTGTTCTCCACAGTCCCAGGGATGGTCTCAATGATCACGACACTGTCTCACTTCCATGGCATCCTGGGCTGGCAATGCATACCTACAATCCTAGCTACTCAGGAGCTGAGGAAGAAGGTCTTGGGTTCAAGGCCAGCCAGGGCATCTTAGCAAGGCCCTGTCCCAAAATTCAAAGAGTGGAGGATGTAGCTCAGCACTGGAGCACTTGTTTAGCATGTGAGGTCCCAAATTCAATCCCCAGCACTGAAAAAACACCTCCTTCCCCATAAAACAAAAACCATTTCTTCCTCAGCTTTCCATACTCTAAAGCTAGAGACAAAAATCCTTAAACACTGCCAAAAAGTCTCAATGATCTGCTCTTTTCCATCCTCATTTTTCACTATGTTCCCTCTAACTTCTGCTTTTCCTGTTTGCAATTCCTTTTATAAGAACTGTCCTACTGGCTCCCCACATCCTGGTCACTGGTTTGTTAGTTTCTCCTCATTTTCTAAGCCGAATCGTGGTTTCCTTACAGAGATGCCTTTCCTGTCCATCAAATTCTGTTAGATGCTCTTTTATGAGCACAGTGCCTCTTTCCTTCACACTTAGCAAAGCTGTAATCTCAAAGCTCTTTTTAACTGAACTCAGCCTGCTTCTTGGAATTTATTTCTCAGTATTCTCCTAAGTAGGACCTCTCATCACACACCTACTTTCCTCCGGCCTCTCATCAGATGTATTTCCAGAGCATGGATCTTTGGCATCTCTGGCATCCTGCTGACCCATAGTGTCCGACCCACAGGAAGCATTCAATTCATGTTGCTGCCTGACTGGAAAGGTAGGTTAAAGACCCATTGCACTAAGAAGTACTCCTTATCTAACCCTCAACTTCTTTCTTCTTAATTCCTACATTTCTGTCATTCTACCCCACAATATAATATTTAATTTTCTATGTTATTTCAACTATTACCTATTCTGTTTTATTTTGTTTCATTTTGTGGAGATCAAACTCAGGGCTTCACGCATGTTTGGCAAATGATGTTCCATTGAGTTTTATCTCCAGTCCACATCTAATTAGTTTTTCATGCCTACTGAAAGCCTCCACATAGATTGTGAGTTTACTGTGTTAGCTATTACATCTTCCTTTGTAATACTTACATATGTACTAGTTAAACAGATACATAATTTACTGACAAAGGCAATATTCAAAATGTCTGACATTCATTCTCATTCTCTCTCTCTCTCTCTCTCTCTCTCTCTCTCTCTCTCTTTCAGTACTCTCGGTATTTGGAGTTGAACACATGAGCTTGTGCTTGCCAGGCAGGCACTGTGCCGCTGAGCTATATCCTCACAATTTTCAAAATGTAACTTCATCTGCATTTTTGTTTAATATTTTCTTATTAAGTAAAAAGAGATACACATTTTTAAAACTTCTATTCTTCTTCTTCTTCTGTCTCCCGATTATCACCTGAGATATGAATCGATAAATAGAGAAATATCTAAACTGTAGGTAGAAGGGAAAGGAAGAATTAAGGTCCTGTTCTCATCTGAATTTCAGAAATTTGGCCATCTGAAAATATCTTGCCCATCAGTAGGGAAAATATGATGACATTACCTAATAATGTACCTTAGATGGTAAAAATAAAGAAATTTCTGTTATTCCAAATCAGTCTGACCACTTCAGTGATGAATTTTTCTTTTATCCGACTACAAATAGTTTACATGTTTTCTAGTACCATAAGTCTCAATTACCAAGGCCACGGGGGAACTGACAGTCACTACTGATTTAATTTTCTGGCTTACTGAGGGTGAACTCAAAGCCCTTTTTGTGTATCAACCTAGTTACTGACAATTGTTATAAAATGTATGAGTCTGCTTTTCTGCCTTAATAAGTACAATCTGGTTAACATTATTAAATCTTCCTCTGATGACTGAAATTATTGTAATGTGTCAGGTTCAATTCAAATAGAATCCAACGTGAACAGTTGACAAAATCTGTGCTAAGCCCCAGGGAGAGTCAGGTGCTTTTTGGACCATGTTCTTGACTTCACGTTACTTGTACAACTCTTTCTGTAAAAGGTTAGTGCAAACACAAAGACTCCGATTAAAAAACAAAGAATATTTTAGTGAATGAATTGAGTTGATTAATGATAATTCTTTCATTCATTCAAAAGCCATCTGTGGAGCCCGAGGCAGAAATGTTCCCAAGACAGCAGCCATAAGGCCTGGGCTAATGTTTGTGCCTGACCCAGGACGGCCATCATAGGACACCCACAGGGTGGGTAGGATTGAAGACTCCAGCTGCTCAAAGTGACACAGGAACATGGTCAAAGCCAGGCAGCCCGGGGACCAGGACTGGGCATTTTCGCTTTCAAGAAGCTCCAGCCTCATTTGTGCTTGAAGTGAGGTAAATGCTGGAAAGCCACCGAGGATTTGGATCTGCACAGCACAGAAACGACTGTTCAGCTGGGTCAGGGTGTGGAGACAACAAGATGCTATTCCCACCTTTGGCCCCCGAACACTAAAGAGTGAACTCCTTGCTGGAGTGCTGGCCACCGTACCCCTCTAGTCCTGGCTTTTTCTCCAGGCCCCAACTCCCAGCACGGACCTGAGGAAGCTCCAGGTTCCAGTGCTCATTCTCACCCTGTAGGGTGGAGGGGAAGAGGAGGGAAGGAAGCCTCACAGCCTCAGGAGCTCTGCGAAGCCATCCTGCATCCATCTTCTCACTTGGACAGTGTGGCCCTGGGGAGACCACCTCAGTCTCAGATCCTGTTTGTTCCAAGCACCGATACCACTCCTGAACACTTTCATATGCTATCAGGGGCTCGAGGCAGCAAAATCAACCAAAGGAACACTGCTAACACTCCACTTATTTGCCAATTGCTAGATGCCTCTTGGACTTTTGAACCATAAGCTTAAGGTATGGAAGCTTCTTGCCTAATTTTGCCAGTTTTACTTCCATATGAATTCTAATTTGGGGGGTTTTCTATGTGTGTAATTACATCAGTTGAGATCTGAGAGCCACAATTGATTTTATTCTTTAAAACAGAGGGGAAGGAGTAAAATACATTTTAGGAAAATTCTCATTCAAAATGATAGAAACAAAATGCATCAATTTTTAAAATCAAGATTGATAAATTCAGTTGAATAAGTTGTAAAATTTCTGCCTGGGAAAAATACCTTCAGCCAAGGCAGAGGACAAATACACTGGGGAAAATATTTACAATGAGATCAGAGGCTAATCTACCTTATGTAACATCAGGTCTTAGATAACGCCCAAGTGAATAAATAACATGCAGAGAACATGGAAAATCACAGCAAAAGAAATATAAGTAGCATTTGAAATAGGAAAATGTCTTCAGTTTCACTCATACCAAGAAAAATACACATTCAAATTACCCTGAGATATAGACTTCCTTCACTATCAGATTATAAAAACATACAAGGTTGTCTGGATTGAAAGACAAACCTCTCTTTCAAGGCTGGGGAGAAACAAGGACTCTACCTTCCTCAGGCAAGTGGAAAAATGGAAGGTAAATTACCCAAATTAACAATGTATCACGTGTCTCAGCAATTGTATAGCTGAGAATTTATCACATATATATGCCTATGAAATCGTGCAGGCTATGGCACTGTTTACAGTAGCAAGAAACTAGAACCATCTGTTGAGGTCTTCCATACAAATATATGATGCAGTCATAGACAGCTGTTAAAAATTAGAAAGTTCCCTACACACTGAAATGAACAGAATTCAAGCTGCAGAACCATGATATCCTTTCCATATATAAAGAGGAAATTTATTATTATCATTATTATTATTATTTGCAGTGCTGGAGCTCAAACCCAGAGCCTCCTGTGTGCTAGCCAACTGTTCTACCACTGAGCTATTTCCTCAGCCCACAATGAGCAAATTTTAAAATATATTTTTATTTCCTTACCTTGTCATAAAATTGAATGAAAGCACTGCAATGTGAACAATAGACAACTTGCATGCTCATTTCACAAAAGAAGAAAAATTCAAAGTTAGTAAATTTTTTTAAAAGGCTGAATATCTACTATATGTCTGGGAGTTTAAAGTTGAAAAGGGTTACTACCTTTAAGTGATACATTGCTATAATTGTTTAAAACTCAGAAAAACTCATTTACACATTGACAAGGAGAGAGAAATCTAAATTATATGTCTGTATGTCTGAAGGGATATAAGGGAAAGAAGGTGAATAGAGATGGGTGAAATACGTTCTGCTATTTTTAAAAGGAGACTTACTTTAATGGCTGAATATAGGGAATAGCCATAGTGCTTCTTGAACTCGTAGCGAATGTCCAAAAGGTCAATTTCTGATCTGGAAATCATTATTCGGTTCAAAGTAAACTCATCAGTTCCAGCGCCCTATTATGAAATGCATGTGATCACAATGTAAATCTCATTGCTCACAAAATGGCACAGAGATAGACCTGGACTTGTAGGATATAAATAACGGTGCATACAATAGTCCACTGCAGTGATTCTTCATTCTTTTACCCTCAAACTCATTACTCATTTATTCAAGAAATACTTGCTGAGTTCTTTCTCTATGCTAGCACCATGTAAAGTGTTGAAGAACTGAGACGAGATATGCTTGATAAACTTCCAAGTCTGTAAGTAAGAATTCTTTAGGCAAGAAAACAGGCCATTGCACAATACCATAATCTCACACACAGGAAATACTGGGTATCATAGAAGCATCCATTAAAGGGCCCAGGAAAGAGTAAGGATCAGGAAAGCCATGTTCAAGAAAGACACATTTACACTAAGGGGAACCTTAGGGGTTCTCCTGCAGGTAAATAAACCTTAGGGGAAGACGGAGCGGGTTAATGGAGAGGAAAGAGCGTTCCAACAGACGATACTGCATGTGTGAAGCTTCTGGACAAGAAAGCTTAAATAATGAGGTGGGGAGGGTCACAGGAGGTGAGTCTGGAGGGACGAGCCCTTTCTAACCATGAAATGAAATTCTAACTTCATCTAGATGTGAAGAACTAATGGACTACTTCAAACATAAGCGTGTGGAGATAAGGTCACATCCGAGGTTTCAGAAGATCACTGTGACTGTGACATGAGGAGCAGATTACTGGGAAGGAGAATGAAGCTAAGGAAACAGGACAAAAGCCTAACCCAAAGGACTCATCTGAAGTGACTGCAGTCATAAAGGAAAGGGGCGATGGTGAGCTGAACTAGGATGAAGGGGGTGAGGATGGGAAAATGGGAAGATTTGAGGCACGCTTATTCAGGTAGACTGACAAACTATGATGCACCATTTGAAGCTGATGAAGAACAGAGAGAGCATATGATTCCCAGCTGAGCAGTTGGGTAGACGCTGACTCCATTTATTTATGCATCAACAATACTTTCTGATACTTGTTGAGCATCTACTATGTGCCAGGGATAAATGAACAACACAGATTCACATTATCTTCATGGAGCTTATGTCCTATTGGCTGTAGAGCGTGTGTAAATCAACAGATTACTCAAGTAAATACTACTAACAACCATGAAGAAAATAAAGCTAGTGAATGGAATTCAGAATGATGAAAGGAACCACAGGATATGGAGCAAAATCAGGGAAGAGATCCTTTCAAGAGGGGACAGTGGAGCCGAGACCTGAAAAGGTGAGGAGTCTGTCACAGACAGATCTGGAGGGGAACATTCCAGGCCCACAGGACAACCAAAGCGGAGATTCTGATGCAGGAAGAGACTTGGCACAGCGAGGGCAAGGAAAGAAGGCCACAGCTGCTGAGGCACCTCGCTCGAGGCTGGAGAGCAACGGATGATTCAGCAAGCTGGGCCAGGTAGGTGCTGTAGGGGCTGTCCGTGAGATGACCAAACACAGGAGGGCAGGCTGGGCTGCAGGGGTGAGGGGAGGGAAGGGGTTGTTCACTTGGACATCACTTCAAAGAGTCACACGGAGCCACAGGAAATGTTCAGTAAAGAAACAGAAGTAAGCATCACCTATGTGCCAGGCCCTGACCTAGGGTGTGAGGACACACGTGGGGGTCACTCCCAGAGCCCACCTTCTACAATAAAGACAGACAGACAGGCACGGCTGAGGACTCAGCATGGCAAGGCCACCAGCTCTCAGGGGCTCAGTCTGAGGTGTGGCATTGGACCGCCCATGCTTGCAGCGAAGTGAAGGAAATCAGTGACACATCACAGTTGCTATACTTACACTGACTGGGATCCTGACCCTAAATCTCTGAGACAAATGAGCAGACTAACTACAAAAGGGAACTCACCAGTGTGGAAGAGAAGTAGGATATTCCATCAGCATTAAGCAATATTTTTACATTCTCCCCAAAGAACACTAACAATGTACATTGAATGACCAGACTCACCTTCAAAGAGCAGTGCAGTCTTTCAGCTAGAAAGGCAGGGATGCTCCTCACACAGCGAACTGTAATAAAACAACATCACCATTAGCATCATGTGGCAGAAACTGAGTTAATCTACAATACTTTTTTTAAAACTCTGGATTTTTACATCATTCTCTCCCCCCTCCCCCAAGACTGGCTTTCTTTTAAAATGAAAGAAAAGCTGTTTAGGCTGAATTTCAACACCTTCTAATGTCATGTTTGCATATCACTTCAGCATGGTAATTATTTTCAGCCATGGAGAAAATAAAATTACCTGGCAAAGAAACCCCACTGAGTATGACTCATCTCTACATGCTAGACATGTGGACACCTACACCCGCACAGATGACTCCGAGGGTGAGCCTGCCTCCTGCCACAGTACCCTCGGCTGCTGCTGAACAGCCTGGGCCTAACAACCGCAGAGATGTGGCTCTAAGTAACTCATCAGGCGAGAAGCGCTGGACTGTGACTGAAAACCAACTGCAAAATCATGATTTTGATCCCCTTTACCAAAAACAAAATAAAATCAAATCAAAAGAAAGAAAATGGGGGCTGGGGATTTAGCTTAGCGGCATAAGCGCCTGCCTTTTGAGTCGTGAGTTCGATCCTGGTACCGATAAAAAAGAAAAAGACAAAAAAAAAGAAAGAAAGAAATCAAGGAAGAAAGAAAGAAAGAAAGAAAGAAAGAAAGAAAGAAAGAAAGTGGACAAAACATAAGTAAATAATTGTTTTGGAATAAACAAGTCCAAAATAGAAAGTCTATTGGGAAGAAACCTATTTATCACAGCACAATTACTTTTATAACCTTAAATTTGATCTGCAGATATGAATGTGTACAAAAGGGAATGAATCTTATAATGAATCCTGGAGCTCAAATCAAGAGCAAGCCTTAAGCCTTGGCTTGCGTGTAGTGGTTTATGGACTATGGAAAGCCAGAAGTCTGGTCTGTGTAAGTGACTGAAGGGAACAGAACCATGAAAACAATCAGATACAAACATATAGGGCAGGAAACAAATCATTTGATGTGGTACAACATAAATTTCCTGGAACTTGTATTAGTAATTTGATCAAGAATCATTATCACCTGTCTTATCCTATTAACCTTTTCAACCATCCTCTCTCCACTAGGTTTGCATAGCCTTTTCTTTTCAAAATCCTCTCTCTTCCTTTCGCTTGCCCTCTGCCTTACGTTCTTAAGTACCAGCTTTACTCTCCCTGTCTGCACTGTGGGGACGTAGCAGTGTATTTCAGTGGTAAGAAAATCTGGCTTAGCACCCGACATCACAGGTGGAACACAGGGGTCCAGGAGAGTTCGTTACTGTGGCCAAGACTATGACAACCTATTTTCTACCCTCCTCCTTTTCCTGACCAAATTTCAATCAGGCCTCTCTCTTCCCATCAGTCCCTGAACTCAGGCTTGCTCCCAATTCCAAGCAATCACTAACATGAAGACTGTGCTCCCTTATCAGCTTGTACCAAGAAGTTAAATGCTCAGTCCCGGAGCCACGGATGCAGTTCAGAGGCAGAATGATTACCTAGTGCATACCAGGCCCTGGATTCAATCCCCAGTGAGGCAAGAAAGGATTAGTCTCCACCCCATGGAACTGTAGGGAGCTGATAGAACCTTGAAGGGGCCGAGCCAGGCTGGAGGACATTAGGTCACCCAGAGCAGGCTTCTGAAGGGGCATCAGGACCCTGCTCTTTGCTCTCCAGCAGCTATGAAGTGAACAGGCCTCTCTGTTGTGGGCCTCTTCTATGATCTATGAGCAGCCTCAAGCTCACAGCAACAGGGCCAAGAGACCATGGACTGAAACCTCTGTAACGATGAGTCAAAATACAAACCATTCCCTTTTCTGAGCTGATTATCCCAGGGTATTTTGTCATAGAGACAGAAAACTATCACTCATTAAGAGTTTGTATATAAAGTTTTTCAAATATTGTGGCTTAACATGACCAAGGAGAGCAGCAAAATTAAACATTAAAAATAGAAAATGAGAAAAATAATAACTGGCTACATCATCACCACAGGAACCATTCTCAGAACTCATACTGAGAAACTGATCTCACTTCTATTTACTTTAAATTTAAAAAGACTTTTTCTTTTTTGGCCTGTCTTTTAGTAATTCTATAAGAGACAAGAAGCTGCTTGTTTTATTTCTGTTTGTCTGAGCCAGCATTTGGATGAAGAGCCCTGGTTTTGGCACTGAAGAGTTCCGAAGTGATATAACAAATGTGAAGGGAGCTGATACTTGTAAAGCGGTGAGTACAGCACCTAGCACATAGTAAGTTACTTAAACACAAACTGGTGTACCCTAAAGGTAGCAGTTCAGCCTTCAGAGGTGGGGTTAAATATCTGCAAGATGAATCCAGGCCCAACCCCTGGACAGTTACCCTCCGACACTAGATATCTTTACCTACCAGAGGCACAATGAGTCACAATAATGAATGCTACAAGTGACCTCTCCTTGGAGAAATGACCTTGGCCCCACTGGAGAAGAAGCCTGTCACAAGCTCGAGGCCATTCCAAGTAGGCACAGCTAAAGGATCTGAACAAGTCTGGGTGTGCACCAGTACTAACAGATTCCATTGCCTGATGCTTGACTGGAGGAGTCTTTCATTAGGGTCTCCTCCCTCTGAGTGGACCTTGCTGACCAGCTGTTCTCCTGGTGCATAACAGGTCTGACTGAGACTCCATGACCTGTCTGACTTGTGAATGCATGTGTCAGTATGGGAACAGATTCAGCCTGAAACTTACTTTCTATTTGACCTACTTATGCTCACTTGGCCAAGGGAGAGAGACCTTAATCTGACCTTGGCTCCACTTTGTGAGGCCAATGACATCTTCCAGAAATAACCAAATAGAGTGAAATAACAAGTTGGCTTGGTCTCAGTTTTCAATAAGGCTCAATAAAAAGGTGAGTAGAAATGTAATATTTTAGCTCTCAAGGAATCTACAATCTAAACATGGTGAAAAGTGAAATACAAATTTAAAAGGCAAAGTAAAAGGTAAAAAGATAACTCCTTCATGCATCATTGAACAGTACTTGTGGAGCCCATTGTGTGTACCAGGAACTGTGCTGGGGGCTCTGAGGAGTATATAGATAGACCCGGTCAGGATTTTCACATGACAGGAACTCACTTTGACACTGAGTTAAAGGAAGAGCAAAATAACCCCATTAATCAGCACTCAAGGGCTTACCTATGGCCAGCAGCAAGTCTTCAAAATGCCCAGATAATTCTCCTTTAATGCTGTCCTCAATGTCTTTCTGGCTAATATTCTTGTATTCATCAAATGCTAAAAAGTATCACCACAGAAACATTTAAAACATCCCAGTTGACCATGCTTGAATATATTTCAGAGGATTTTTATCTGATATGCAGCAGATCAAGATGCAAGCTCTAAAAAACTCCTTTTTAAAATCATCAAAATTTAAGCAGACAAAACCTAGCTTCATAGGTCATTTTCTTCAATGACCTCCCGCCTCTTTTCCCAGGCTGCAACAATTTAAAACAAGCTGAAAGGTTAAATGATAAATAATTTATCTAGGAAGATGGACTACTTTAAAAATGATACCAGCCCCCGGGAAATAATACTGTGGTCATTAGTGAAGTATGCCAAAGGAATCTTAGTGATGAAATTTTCTTTGTGCTGAGTGAATCATTTCCTAAGGCCGGATGGCCCACATCACACCTACCAGAAGGCGCTGGAATTTCTTCATCAGTATTTGCCCTGAGCAAAACCAGTACCTATGTCACCAAGTATATAGGCATATTTTGTAAGCCAAGTAAATTTCTTCCAAGTAAACTTTTAAGCAAGAAATTTGAAGGAAGGATCTGTGGTCATATGATTCTCGTTTTTCAAACACAGGTATTATATTAGTAAAAAGAAACTATATTCCTATTATTTCATAAAATCAATTAAGGCCAAAGTTAAAGGAGGACGTTTTCAGAATTAATCATAGCAGTATCCTTGGTGTCCTCTTTTCCAGCAGGTTAGCCTAAGGCCAGGCCCGCACTGTGCTTCCTGTCTTGAGTGGCACCCAGAGGCTACAGTCATGGTGTCCACAGCAAAGGGAGGCGGGAAGACCCCTGAGACAGAGGGTGAGCGCCCAGAGGTCCCGTGTACTTGCGGGTCTGATGGAAAGAACTAGCCTTCCCCATCCCCTCATTTGCCTTTATGTCAGAAAGAGCTGAATGCGGGTCAGCATTAATCCATCAATTAAAAGTTACAGGCAGAGCCTGGCTTTCCCGGAAAGTGGCTCACTGGGGATAGTGGGGTGAAAACGGCACAGCCAGGCTCCCCTACTCCAGGGGAACAGGCCTGTCTGCTGTCCCCCTCCAGGGCTGCCCCTTCTCTTCTGCCCCCAGCCCATTACCTGTTACTCCCTGGGGGATCTACTCGCTCTTTAGGCAGAACCAGAGGAGGGCCGGAACTGCCTAGAGTTATGGCGTGGCTTCCTCATTCCGTTTCCTCAAATATTTATAAAAAAAGTGGAACAGACTATCATTTTTAACTTTCTTTCTGTGTATCAGACCCACCGAAATTTGCAGAAACAAAATAAACCAAAAAGGACTGATTGGGAGTCCATACTTAGTTTCAGTTGTGGAAAGCTCCTTAAGCATAGGATCTCGGTGAATTTATCTTCATCTGTGCCCCATTTGTTCTCGCCAGCATTATAGAGAATCTACCGACAAGGGAGGGAAATGAACATGTTGTTAAAGACATGATTCCTTCTCTCTCTTTTTTGAGGGGGTGAAATGAGAAGCATGGGAAGATTTCATTTATTTTCAAGGTCAGTGAGATAATCTGTTATCTAGGCCTCTCACTTGTAGCAGACTAGAAATCTGAAGGCCTGAGGGCTGGAGCCCGGGAGTGACCCTGGCAGTGACCCTGGCGAAGGTGGAGGCCTGGATGCAGGCTGATCTCCAGTCTTCTGCTTCTAACTGAAAAGATAGCCCCGGGCTCTACCGTCTTGCACCCTCATCATAGAAATGCAAAGAGGAAGAAAAGTGAAAGCAGATGTTTTACTTGCTCTGCTACTGACCTGAGCATCTTTTTTGGCCAGATGTTCATCAACCTTCAGACTTTCATCTCTTCTGCCCTACAAATGGATGACAAAAGCAAGACCAGTCATTTAAGACAGAAGAGTCACTTGCATGTGAAACATCATATTGTCTCCCTACTGTAAGAAACTGAACGAGTAATTAAGATCCGAAATCTACAACAGGTAATGGGAGATGGGAAGAAACTGTTCAAAAGGAAACAGAAACTGAGATGGGGGAAAGGAGAAAAGAAGGAAGGGGAAAGAAAAGAAACGAAAAAAATATACAAAATAACTAAGATAGTTATCCTGTAATTTCTATTAGTTCACTGAAAAGAAAGGTTCATGCTTACATTGTCTAAGCAACTAACTTTGAAGATAAAAATAGGTAATGTATTGTATGCATCATTGTTAACCTATTAGCTTGTTTTGAATCATTATTTTTATTGTTCTTTCTCTTAAATTCTTACAAAACATATCTGAGAAAGGACTTATAACCAAAATACATGAAGAATCTTAAAGTTCAATAAGAAGATAATAATTAAACTAAATTTAAAAAATGAGCGAAAGTTCTGCTGAGATACCTCACCAAAGAAGAGCAGCAAAGGCTGTCAAGAAAGCACAGGAAAAGATGCTTAGCGTTATATGTTATAGGAATTGCAAATTAAAGCAACATCCACCTACATTTAGAATGGCTAAAATTCAAAATATTGGAAAACCAAAATACTGAGAAGGAAACGAAACAATGGAAAAGGCTGTTCACTGCTAGTGAAAATGAAAACAGCCACAAGTCTAGAAGACAGTTTGGCAACACCCAGGCATATAATAATAAAAATTCCAGAAATTCAATACAAGAACAGAATATTAAAAGACAGTTCCTTGTATTATTAAGTGTCTTACCATATAATCCGGCAACTGTACCTCCTAATATTTACCTGAGTTAGAAACATGTCCACACAAACCCTGCACGTGAATGTTTAATAGAAGTTTTATTCATAACTGCCCAAACTTAGTAGCAACCAGGATGCCCTTTGATTGATGAAACAAATATTCCATAGAGAGGAGTATTTTTTGATGCTAAAAAAGATATGACTTGAAGAGTAATGAAGGCATAGAGGAAAATTAAAGGGAAATTATTAAGTGAAGGAAGCTGGTATGAAAGCCTATAAGATACATAGGATGCTTTAGAAAAGGCAAAACTCTGGAGGCCATAAAAAGATCAGAGGTTACTGTGGGAAGGGGGGATGTATAAACTGGCAGAGCAGAGAGGATTTTTAAAAGAGTGAAGCTATTCTTTCTGATCCAGTGATGGTAGCCATATGACATCATACTTTTTCAAAATCCATAGAATTATTCAACAGAGTGAGCCATTATGCAAAGTAGGCTTCAGTTAATACTAGTGTATCACTAGTCCCTCAGCAACTCTGACACATGCAGCACAATAATGCAACTGATTAATACAATAAATCCCCAACATTTTAAAGTTTACATTGTGCACTTTCACAGGGAACTGTATAGGATTACAAGTATACTGTGTAAAACTCACTTTGTCAGATTACAAGTGAACCTTCTTTTGTAAGGAAACCTATTTGTAAGTTGGGGACTTAATAATGGAAAAAAATATATAAAGAAGGAGGGACAGAGAATAGCTGTCTGAAAAGTGGTACCTTGGTTCACAAACACATTTTTTGGCAAATTATCTGGCTTGCAAACAAAACCATTTGGAAAAATTTTGTTTTTGTTTGCGACCTCCACATTGGGTAACAAATGTGACCATGGCCACCTTTCCACACACACTTTTCCACACACAAACATGGACGTCCTTTCCAAAATCATGGAACAAATTACGTTTCTGGTACTACTGCATTTTTTGCTCAATTCTTCTGTAAGTCTAAAACTGCTCTAAAAAATAAAAGTCCACCTTATAAAACCCTCAGAGGTTTCCCACCAGCCGCAGTATTAAAGGCTCTGTAGATCATGTGTGCACGTGTGTCTGTGAACAAATACTTGAGCACATTTTACAAAGATCAAAAAGTAAAAAAAGGATTGGTTGAATTATGTTCTGAATTATAGGTGAACTAAGTATTCAGTTATAATGTTCAGAAATAGATTTGCTCCTGTTTTCAAACGTCAGTTCCTTGTATGCCTGCCTGACTTATGCCTGTTTTTTCCTATGCTGCTATTCGACTCCATCTTCTCGTTCTTTCATTTGTGCACTGTGCTCCAGTAACACAGGAGCTGATTATCATTAGCCTTAAAAATAATAAACCTCCACTACCATACACTGGTCACTTCCTATGTGCTAAGCAATTCACATATTTATACCTTCAGGGATTGGTTCTACCAGTATTTTAATTGCACAAATGTGAGAACTAGTGCTTTCAGGCTTAAAATAACTTGTCTAGATACAGAAAGCTGGTAGGCAGCATAAAAGTCCAACTCTGTTTGAGTCTAAAACCCTGTCCTGCAGCTCTAATCTGTGCTGCTGCCCGTGGAGATATGAACTCACACTCATACTAAGGGATATACACTGAAGGCTGCAGACCTCCAAGAGCATGTTTTTGTGGCAATCCTTCTTACGTTTGGGTTTGTGGATTCAACCATCACAAGGTTTTCAGCATTTAAAGCAACTGGCACCATAATTAGGATAAATCATTTCATAGAAGCATAATGCCTCTCTTTGACAAGTGATATTTCAGTCTTCTGGGTGAGACCATCTCTGGAATTTTCTCATGAATTCAGAGCTGTGTACATCAGCTGAGAAGTTGGTGAGATATGGTTAAAGACACTTTCTGTGTAGCACGAATCTGTGATACACTTCATCCTTGACTTTACCACCGTAATTAGCAAATTCATGAACCCTGTAAACAAAGCCTGCAGTGACCTCATTTGGTCACACTGTGACTGATGGTTTGGCAGCTTTTCCAAGGTGGCAAGGATGAAATTGCAAGTTATTTTTTGTCCTGATCTTGACACTTATTTTTGAACTTAATATGCCATTCAGAAAATAATTTTTCTGTATCATATTTCTCACTTAATTTAAAAGAAAAAAAATTATTTTGAGTCCAGAAGAAAATAAAAATGTTCTAAAAATAAGACATTTACAAGGGAAATGGACAGTTAATTTTTATCAGATAATTTCTCAGAACCATTTTCTACTGAATAGTTAAGACCTAATCAAAATACTTTTTTCCATAAGCTGCCCTAGACACGATTTTTTTAAACCTCACTATGTATGCTTGTATGCTTTTATGACCTTGGTTAAACATTTTATTGATAGTGGCAATGTAAATCAAAAATGAACAAATCATTAATAAGACAGTGCAATCTCATTGTCTCAGGTTTTTAAACATCTTAAAAATTCTTACTGAGCATGCAGCTCATTGCAGAATTAAAAATAGAAAATAAAACCTTACATCTGCCAAAGTCAATAGAGCTTTCCGGAAGTCACCAGATGTTTCAGAACTAATGGCATCTCCAAGACTCTTCTTATAAACTGAAACCAAAGAAAAATGCAATTAAGCCTTGACAAGCTGAAAAACATCATTATAAAACAAAGAGAAGTGTCTACATTAATACTGGCAAATGAGTATCTGGTAAAATAAACCTGCCTTGTATTTATCTTTCTGGCACTCTAGCATTGTGAGAAGGAAATATTTTCCATGTAACAATTACTGCACCATGGCAGAGGCGAAAGAACAGGAGGAGATGTAAAGGAGTCCTTTCTGGATTAACTCATGGCTCATCTCACCTGACAATGGCACTAATTAGGGACAGACAGGAGGGCAACCTGCTTGTTTCCCTTCCCATTTTCATTATCTCCTTCTTCCATAATAACAGAGCTCTAATAGTTAACAAAACCTAATACGCACAGTTTAAAAAGTTCACTGTCAGCTTTCCTCTTAGCTAGGTGCAGCTCCACGACTAAGTTCTTTCTGTGAAATGTAGGCAGACATGTGTGACTGCAGGAAACTCTCTTTAAAGGGCTGGGCCATGCCCTTCCTCAGTCCTACCTCCTTGTATGCATGTTGGTGTCTAGAGTTTGAGCTGCCACCTTGGACCATAAAGGTAAGGACAGCATCACAGCAAAGAAAGTAAGCAGGAAAGGGCCTGAGTCCCCGAGGATTTTGAAGAGCTATGGTACCAGTCTTAGAATTATCCACCTCCAGACTGTTTCTACATACACTCCACTACAAGAAAATGTGGATCTTATGTACACACTGTTATTTTCCTATCTTAAGCCAATCCTTAATCTTAACAGATATATGTAATTATGTCATTTGATATTGTTCAAATGTAAGAAAGTCACCCCCAAATACACAATTTTCTCTTAATGCTAACCATGTGTTCAAATATGTTAATACAGGCTAGTTGTAGCACCTTTTGCATGGCAAATTTTTTTTTTTTATTTTGCAGTGCTGGGCATTAAATCTTGGGTCTTGTGCATGCTAAGCAAATGTTCCACCTCTGGGCTATACCCCCAACCCCTGCCTGTCAATTGCAAATCTCTGTGCTGCTCTATCAATGGAATAGTGAACCTCCTGCAGCCTCCTGGACACAGGTGACACCAACTGGCAGTTTGAACTCCACATCATTCCTCAAGAACTCAGCCATAAGTCAGCAAAGGTGATGTTCATTCTTTTAAATCAATGAAAGACAACTGTAGGAAGTGATGGGAGATTATCAAATAGGAAGAACCACGTGAAGCAGAAACTTAACTCAATTTAGCCTTTTTATGAGCTCTATAATTTTTCAGAGCAATTCTCATGTAAGCAAAATCTATAAATCCAAACAATTCATCTTAACATTCCGCAGGCATCATTATATCTAATACTTATAATACTGTTGCACCTATCCTTCACTGTAGTAAAAAAAATTTCAGTTTAAAAACATCAAGTCAAAGAATGACGCTCTCCCTTTTTCAGCATCTGGAGAAGTACTTTGTTATTGTAGAATTATAAAGATGAGACTTTATAGTCATCTCATGCAGCCACCAGAGGCCTCCCTTTACCCAGAGATTTTTCCAGAAATTAGACTGTTAAAATGAAAATGATTTCAATCCAACTTGATCACTACTTCATGCATTTTAAAGCATACTAGAGCACAGAAAAATTATATCTTAACAGTGAAAATGCCTGAATTAGAATGGGTTCTTGATCTCTTAGTGTTCTCTCACACACCGTTAACTGAAGAATATTAAAAAATATTTCTTGATTTACCTATTACTCAGACTCTTTTCCCTTCTTGCACTAAGTGAGCCACACATGATGCCTGGTCACTTTCTGAGGGCCAAGTTAATGACCTCCTTTGATGGGTGTCTCATGTGTGGACCACCACAGAATGTTGTATGACACCATCACTCAAGCTGAAGGCAAGAGGGTTCGTACCGGAGCACAGGTGATCAACAGCTAAGAGGAAGACCCGATGGGAGAACTTTGTCCAAAATAAAGCTCCCTATTAGAGACTGCCACTGAATCCTCTCTTAAAGAGTGAGTTATGCATAAAAAGAGAAAAAATAAGGTTACAGGGCTTGCTAAGAAGTTTGGAGGTGCCCACACTAGAAGCAAACAGTGAGAGGATGAGCGTCCCTGAGATGGAAGACAGCATAGAGAGCAGTGGCCTGTGCTGAGGCAGTGGGGACATCACTGGGTCCCCATGACGGTCCTGGGTCCCTGCATCACTGTAAAGCTCAGCTCTACATAATGGAGACTGTATCTTTCTTGATTTCCTTGTGTATTATTAATATTTAGCAGTCAAGGTAGCCCAGAGGCAGTTCTTTGCCTTGTAGCCTTACACAATTTAACTCATATTGAAACTGAGTCTTTGGTAACATGCAGCTATTATCCTTGGTCACATCTGTCAGACACAACCCCAAAAGCCAGAACTTTCACCTGGCTCTTAAGACCTCAATCTCAACCCTGAACACACTCGTTCAATGAGTATCTGAACCTATTCCGTAGTGGTCCTGAGCACTGAGGACACAACAATGAACAAAACAGACAAGAATCTTGACAGTGTGCACATCCTGGGATTATTGTACAAAAAACTGGACTCCAGGGAGCTATCTCAGCACAGGTCCATTCTTGAAGCGGTAAACTCTTAATAGACACCAGCCAACTGGGGATAATGTGTCTGGCTGTGACAACTTATTTTTCATCTTTGTTCATCTGAAGTACTGCAATACCTTGACTGTTGAAGCTCCAAGCTTGAACTTTCTAGTACTTGAACAGCAAAGTTAAAAAAAAAAAAATCTGCTGAGTATTCTTAACTTTGCTCGGTGTTCACTTTTTTCATCAGTGATATACATGATCTTAGCCAAAAGACTGAGAAGCGATATCTCATCACTGATAGTCTGACAAAAAAAAAACCCTTACAGGCTAAGTGCGAGTCTCATTGTGGGCACAGAGGGGTAATAATGCTTCGGTCTAAGTGCCACTATGTCCCAGATAACACACAGCACTTGTGTTAGTCAATTAGCACATTCCTCACTGCTGGGTGTGGTGCCCAGCATTTGGGAGACTGAGGCAGGAGGATTATACTTGTTTTGTACTTCATAAAGTTGTGACCATGGCTCCAAAGAAAATTAGTGACACCAGCAATAAAGCTAAGAGGAAAACTGTGAGAACCACAATAGAATTAAAGAAATCATTGTGAAATTTGTTAAAGTCCTGGAAAAACGAATTTGTAAGTGTAAGTTTTGGGCCTCAGAACCAATGATTTGATTTTCCATTATTTCTTATAGGAAAAAATATGTTCAGCTCTCAAACTCTTTGGTGTTCAGATATGAATTTGGAATGAACTGAGTTTAACAACAGAGGTTATCACTGTATTTTTAAACGGGGTATCCTAAACATTGACAGTGCACCCACTTTTGCTTCTGATCAAGCAAATCTCTCATCTACTTCAAATTCATCCACTTTCTGTTGTGTCCCACCAAGAGGGGAGGTGGTGTACCTCTTTGCTATTTTAGTTCTCTATAAAGTGTTCAAAGCATTTCTATTGAGTAGCTTGTCTGTTAATGTATCTAGTGCTGTTTTTGTGTTTCTGACTATATTCTGATTAATACTGATTAATACTAATTAATTCTGATTAATACAATCATAAATATTAAGGTATTTAGCTTCTAGTGAGAATTTTCCAAGTAATCTCTCTAAGACCTGTCTGGGGTTCAAAATATCCCTTCCTTGGACTTCTCCCACTGCAAAGCTCCTGAGTCCACAGCTGACCTCACAGAGAGCACCTTGGGGACTACAGGGGATTACTTCATAACACAAAATTGGACCTGTCTTTCTCTCTGATTCTTAGGAGGTGACCTCTAAATCCTTGGAATTTCCCAAATAACTGGAGTGTCTCAGTTATTCAAGGTGACTCAAGTTTATACTAACAAAATGACAAAGAAAACGATGAAGAACAAAGTCACATCAGAAAGACCAGTCATGTGACTGGAGGATCAATGCTCTGAGTCACAAGACATTAGCTGAACCTCTGGGGAAGCAGGGGACTGAGTTCAGTCACATGGACAATGATGACCCAATCAATCGAGCCTCAGTAAGAAAACCTATGGATATGATGATCAAGTTGGATTTCAGGCTGGAACATCAGCATTCTGGGAGGGTGGAAGCTATACATTAGGTCCTCCCAAATCTCTCTCTGCAGGTTTCTTCATTTAGCTGACCTTCATTTGTATCGCTCACAAGACTACAATTGTAGGCACAATACTTCTTGAGTTCTGCGCATCATTCTAGTGAGTTCCTGGGCCTGAGAGGGCGGCCAGCACCTGGATTTGTACCCAGTTGCTTAGATAGATGTGTAGATTGTGAACACCTGAGCTTGAAGGCTGGTGTCTAAAGAAAGGGAAGTCTTAAATCTTCTAAACCTAACATGTGTAGTCACACTAAGTTTGCAGATGGTCAAAGTTACATTGTACAGACTTGTTAACTTTTACACAGCTAACAGACCTTTAGGACTTCAGCTAATTACACCAAATTCACATGCTCAACACATTCTCTAAATTGTTCAACTAATTTCTCACACCAAAAATCATATGTCTAATCTGAATAGTTTTTAATAGATAATAATAATGTACAATGACTAGAGTCTCTTACATTGATGAAAATGATTAATTTGATTGATTGCTAGCATAGTGCACAAATTAGAGAAAGCAATCCTAAAATGTATTAGGAACCAGGAGATCTAGAATAGCAAAAACAATTCTAGGCAATAAAGGTAAGGTCAGAAGCATCATGATCTCTGACTTGAAATTATACCATAAAGGTACTGTGATATAAACAACATGACACTGATTTAAAAAAAAACACCTAAGGAACAGCTTAGATGGTGCAAAAACAACTCCATGCACACTTAGCCAGCTTATCTTCGACAAAGGGGCCACTTTTACCAGAAGAAAGACAGCCTCTTTCATAAATAATGCTGGAAAAACTGGCTTTCCATATGCTGAAGACTAAAATTAGACTCCTATATATCACTATACGCTAA